AAACATATATCTGGCTAAGATTGTTCATGCAGCTGCTGTTGGAAAAATCTATTCACTGATCTCGTAGTATCACATCTGTATCAGTGGTAACCTGAAGGCAGAAACAGAAGGCAAAGATGCATTGTGTTGGGCAAAAACTGTTGTGTGCATGTGGGGACATGTGTGTTTAACTCTGGTATCAACAATCTTCAGTGTGTTTCCCCCTTTAAGGCTTCAAGGTGGGATGAGGGGGAGTGGAATGGAGCTTCATTTGCCCCAGAGAGTCCAACTTTTGAGGAGAAACATCAGAACTTTCTGAGGCAGCTGCTGGAGGACTCTTAGAATATAGAATATGCTCTGTATTACTTGATACAGATAAGTGTGGGTTAAAGAGGGATTTTCAGAGTTTAATTTTGTAGGGGTTATATTGTGATTGTATTCTTAGGTGTGTTTTATTCTGCAACAGGGTTTTGTGTTGGGCCTCCAAGGCTGAAGGCTCAAAAATTTCACCTCATTTAAGGAGGCTAACTCAGCAAGTAGCACAGATTGTAGACTGTAAAAAGAAACTCAAAAGTTACATGATTGTACTCTAATTCTTAACTTTATGCATACATTTATTTTATATGGTTCCATATGCTTCTGTAATTGCCTCTGGTTTTCTTTGATATAAATTCCTGAGGGTATCCTGAACACATTAGTGAAAGTTACATGCACTTGCTTACGCATGCTGGAGCAACATGGGGGAAGTGTGTTTGTGGTGGCTCACTAGCTTAAGCCAGCCTTGGGAGAGATATCTGATATCAATCAGTAGAGAGTCTGGGCTTGTATACTACTTAACTTATCATAAGGTGGCAAGCCTGAAAACTGCTTCAGCCTTCCTTGATTTGGTGATATTCTCTGGAGGGTTAATAAGAATATTAAGAAGAGAGTCTTCACCCAGTGAAGGACTTTATGTCACCTTGGAATATGTGACCATTTAAATAGCAGCAGTGTCTTTTTCTAAGGATGCAGAGGAGAGCAAAGTTGTGAATGGTTGTGTGAGTGTATATGAATATTGTTGTAGATCACCGAAATGATTGCATCTTAATTTCGTTGTACTATGTACAATGACAATAAAGTATATTACTATTACTATTACAATGTGTTTGTGAAAGTTAAGTGTGTAGCTTCAACAGTCTTGAGCAAATACATCCATTGACTGAGTATAATTATTCAAGAAACAATGCGTTAGGTGCGGACATGGGAAAGCCAGGTTCAAAGCTGCTCCAGGATAACTCTGCATATTAGAGTGGAAAACACTAATGGGTTGGATCCTGCACAGAATCTCCACTGAATGAAGGATTTTTTTAAAAAAATCAGCGGGGTGGGATTTTTCTGTTTTCCCCTTCCCAACCTTCAGGTGGCACTGGAGATCTCCCGCTATTACAATTGATCTCCAGACAACCAAGATCAGTTCCCCTGGAGAAAATGGCTGCTTTGGAGGGTGGGGTCTATGGCATTATACCTTGCTGTATTTACTTTCCCCCTCACTTCACCCTCCCCAGGCTTCACCCCCCCAAACCTCTAGGTATTTCCCAACTCAGAGCTGGCAACCGTAACCTTACCTGCATAAACACTGCTCCTGGAGGACAAGGGATTCCCAGAAAAAAAAAAAAAACTAAGGAGGGAGATAGCAGCCTGCTGTGGGCAGGGCCGGCCCGAGGTTGTCCTGCGCTCTAGGCGAACGCAGACGCCAACCTCCCGGAGGGGCCTGGAGACCGCTCCCAGCTGGATCTCCTCCTCCTCTGCACGTGGTGGGGGGGAGGCGAGGCGGGGAGGTGTGCCTTGCTTGGGCCTCTGCCGCAGGAGGAGAAGAGGAAGGGGCGCTGCTTCGCGCCGCACGTAGACGGCCGGGGACGGAGGAAGGAAGGCAGGGTGAGCACCAAGGCAGGGGGGGCGAGCGCACCGGGCCCGTCCGGGCACACCCTCCCCCAGGGGTGGCCCAGCAGCAGCCCGAGCTGAAACTGAAACCAGAGGCGCAGCAGCAGCAGTAGAAGGAAGGGGGCCTCCCCCACCGCCCCAGCGGGTCCTGAACCCCGTCCACTGCGCTTGGGCCTTGAGCCGCCAGGCGCACCATAGGCAGGCAGGCAGCCACCCGTCAGGCCATGCCTAACCCAGCCTGCCTGCCCCGTGGGGCTTTCCGATGGCCAGCCTCCCCCCACCGGGGGGCTGTCTGAGTCCCCCCCAGCCCCGAGGGCCCCACCGTCCGGCTTACCCAGGAGGAGGAAAAGGAAAGGGGACCCCATCGCCGCCGCCATCCTCCCAGCAGGCCCGCCGATCTGCAGCGCGTCGCCTGCTTCCACTTTCGGGCCGCCGGAGGAAGGGGGGAGACGAGGCGGGGCTTCGGGCAGGCGCGCCTCTGAGCGTGCACAGAGCACCTTCCCCGGCCAGGTGCTCAAGCAGCCCCTCGCCTCCCCCCCGGCTTCCACTTTCGCTTTCAGGCCGCCACAAGAAGGGGGCGGACGAGGCGGGGCTTCGGGCAGGCGCGCCTCTGAGCGTGCACAGAGCACCTTCCCCGGCCAGGTGCTCAAGCAGCCCCTCGCCTCCCCCCCGCCTCGCCTCGCCACCTCCCCCCTGGCTCGCATCCCCCTCACACCTGCAGAGAAGGAGGAGGAGCAGCGCCTTCCCGGAGCCGACCAGGGCGGTATCCGCTGGGAATTCCCGCATTTAACATGCGGGATTTCTGGCTCGGGGGCGCTGATTCCTGCTCGGGGGCCTGGCAGCGGCCCCGGGTATTGGCTCCCTGCCTGCCTGGCAACGGGCCCCGCCAGGCCAGAAAGTGCTCCCCTTGGTCCCCTCCCCCCCTGTAATTCTTGCCGGCGATGGGCCCTGCCGGCGAGGAGAGGCTGCCGGCGGCCGCCCCTGCCTCTCGTCCCGCGCCCCAACGGCCGGTTTGCGCTCTAGGCGAACGCCTAGTTCGCTTAGCGGGCGAGCCGGCCCTGGCTGTGGGAGGGAGGAAACAGTGAAAACGGTCCCCCTTCTTTCAGTGGAAATTTCCCAATGGATCCAACCCAATATTTTCTGCAGCAACCATGAAATGTGGAAGTGAACTCTGTATAGGGGGAAGAACAGATAACCATTCCTTTATACCTCCCTCACAACCATGTGATGGGCATTTATGGGATGTAGAGTCTGTGCCTTAAGAAACTGAAAAAATGCATGTTCCTTTTATCAGGGTTATTTCTTACAATGTGTTTTTTTGTCTGGGTACAGATACTTGAGGATATAAAGCATCTGTTGGTGTATTAGCTGAGTTCATAGATACTCATCCTAAGAGGGTGGAACTGCTGACTAAGACTGAGTTATTTCCTCTTTTCATCTTAGCTGCCTGTAATAGTGATAAAGGATTTATTATTATTTTTAAATAACTGTACTAGACAGAGTGTTAGGATAGCAAGCCAACTATATATGTCTACCTTGCTTGCTTGATTTATTGATTACCTGAATTATTAAGAAATGTAATGTTTTGTAGATTATGAATGTGATTGTCATATTAGCATGCTCCATACAGAGTGAGTGTGTGGTTCACAAGCAAAGGAATTATTCAAGTTATTCCCAGTCTCACATACAAAGCATGAGGTTGTATATTTATGTTTGTGTGCCATTGCACGTACATATCCCATTGTGCCTCTTATCAGTACTCTTCAGGCTATTTAACAAATCCCTTTTAGCCCCCTGCTCCTATAGACTAGGTGACTCTTGAACTGTCATGTGGCCCTATAGATAAAGAGGCATTGGATTCTTGAGACCTAGTTTCAGGTCCAAGCTATGGGCAAACCTCATCTGTTTCCTTTCCCTACCTATAAAACACAGTTACATTTTAGACAGAGGGTGGGTGCCTAAATTAAAGGGGGGAAAATGATTGCATCCCAAATTAAGACAAGCAGCAAGTTTCTGAAGATTATCTAAAATGAAGAAGCCACTATTGCTTTGTGCCTCATAGCCATCATGAGAGAAAAAAGACATCTTGGAAATTAATGGGTGGCGTCTGCTAAAAGCCTTTGGAAGGAGATGAGACCAGAGTGGATTTTTCAGCCATCACAGGGCAGGATTTTTTTGCAACTAAGCTGCGTCCCCCTTTCCCTTTTCTTATGCAGATTTATATTTGTGTCTTTGTCGATATATAAGTTTTAACTAGTCCTGCAAAAACCTGGGCTGCATACAGATTGGGGGGGGGGAGCTAGTATATTTTATATTCACAACAGCCCTATGAGGTGTTGAATGCTCCAGATCACTAAGCGTTATGGCTGCATGAGGACTAGAATCTGGGGCTCCTAGGCCCAGTTGACATGCCAACCACTATACCATATTGGGGCCCCAGTCCCATGGGCTGGATAACGTGGGGGGGGGTTGTGCTGCCACAATTAGAGCCACCATAACGCGATCCCACGCATCGGTGGCATGCCATGGTTCCTTCCCTCTGCGCCTGTGCATCAACGAGGGGCCGGAGGGAAAAGCTGCAGCCAGCACGATCACATCGAGGGACTCCAGAGGCAGCCCGTGGCAAACCGGTTGCTAGTACCTTCGAGCAGGTAGTTTTTAATCGCGCATTTTCAGCGGTATGTCACAGGTTTGCCACAGGTGCGCTCCACTTCCCAGATGTTGTGGTGTGATCGCGGCTGGATAATCTGCCATGCAATCGTCGCTCTCCCGCGGCAAATCCTCTGTGTGAACAGGGCCTGGGACCCTCTGGACATGAGGAGCTACACTGCCCATGAAATGTATTCTTCCTTTCCCCCACAAATCTCAGGCATTTACAAAAAAAAAGTATAATTCTACAAAATCCAATTTTTAAAATTGGAGCATATTATTAAATGCATTAAATTTAAAAAATGCTGCCTTTGTCTGCCTTGCATAGTGTCTTCTTCAAGGTTGCAGAATTTGGTATTTTTCATACCCTAATCCAGCCACCTCTATGTTGTACAGTAGGTATTCTGACAATATCATATTCAACTAGGCTGATTCTCTTGTGTTGCAGATACTAAATCAACCTGTGAAGAATCTCCATGAAGGTGACCAGCCATGCAATGTTCCTGGAAGGCTGTCCTCCTACTTGCTTTGGCCTCTATAGCTATCCAGTACACAGCCATCCGCACCTTCACAACCAAGTCCTTCCACAGTTGCCCTGTACCCAACCCAATGAACTGCAGCCTGAATCAGGAGACTGAATCAGCTGACAGACTTTGTGATGAAAGCCCCACCTTTGCATATAATCTTTCCAAGAAGACACATGTCCTCATCTTGGCCACAACCAGAAGCGGTTCCTCCTTTGTTGGGCAGCTCTTTAACCAACATTTTGATGTCTTCTATTTATTTGAACCCCTCTACCATGTCCAGTACACCTTGATCCCAAAGCTGACACAGACCAAGGGCTCCACAGACAGGCGGATCATGCTGGGAGCTGGGCGAGATTTGCTGAGGAGCCTCTATGACTGTGACCTCTACTTCCTGGAAAATTACATTAAGCCTCCACCAGTGAACCATACAACAGACAGGCTGTTCCGCCGGGGAGCCAGCAAGGCGCTGTGCTCCCCACCAGTTTGTGAGACACTGACAACCATTGATATTCCACTGGAGGAAGGAGACTGTGTGAAAAAATGTGGCACCTTGAACCTAACACTGGCAACTGAGTCATGCAAAGATCATGGGCATGTTGCTATCAAAACTGTGCGGGTGCCCGAGGTCAGTGACCTCCGGGCCTTGGTAGAGGACCCCAGGCTCAATCTGAAAATCATACAACTGGTGAGGGACCCCAGGGGCATCCTTGCCTCCAGGAGTGAGACATTTAGAGATACTTACAGGCTTTGGCGTATCTGGGATGGCACAGGTAGGAAACCCTATAACCTGGATGTGACACAGCTCACTACTGTCTGTGAGGACTTCTTGAACTCTGTTTCCACCGGACTAAACCGGCCAGCTTGGCTCAAGGGCAAGTACATGCTGGTTAGGTACGAAGACCTAGCCAGGAATCCCTTGAAAAAGACAGAGGAGATGTATGAATTCCTGGGCATCCCCATGGACAGCAATGTGGAACGATGGATACAGAATAACACAAGAGGGGACAGATCTGCAGCCAAACACAAGTATGGGACTGTCCGAAACTCAGCAGCAACCGCCGAGAAGTGGCGGTTCCGCCTTTCCTATGAAATTGTGGCATTCACGCAGAACGCCTGCCAGCAGGTGTTGGTACAACTAGGTTATAAACTGGTGTCCTCTGAGGAGGAGTTAAAGAACCTTTCCATCAGCCTTGTGGAAGAAAGGGACTTCTTGCCCTTCTGGTAACACAAACATTAGGGTTTCGTATTTTAAATCTGATACGAGCCATTTCCTAACTGTTGCCTTACTTTCCCTTTCCCCATTTACTCTTGAAATTTGCACTAATTCTTTAATGGGAATCTCAAAAAGAGTTAACATGAAGAAAGCATCTCCTCTCAGACTATGTTATGAGTAATGGGTACCGTAAAAGCAAATTAAAGAAGCAAACTGTGGATGGGTAGCAATGTTTACAAATCACACTCACACAACAATGTATAAAAGGAAAAAAAAAGTAACCCTCAGGTTTTCCACACTGAAAGGCACCTGGGGGACTATACTTTTGCACTGTTTACTTTTACAATGTAAGAGGTAACTATAAATATATACATATATATATATGTCTAATTTATGAATAGTGTTGTCACTTCCCGCCTAACTCTCCCTGATTATGAGCAGGTTTTACTGTTAGCTGAATGTGGAATATCTCCTTGTTTTTAATCTTGTTTTGATATGTCTGTTTGAGTCATGTTATCAGGCTGGTCGCTGATCCATGGTTTGTTTAGTAACACCTATGACATTTCTTTGTGCCAAAAAGACAAAAAAAAATGGTTTGCTGAACAGCAACAACGGACCCTTAATGCTTTATCTCTGTGTTTTCTGCAAATAAATAATTCAATAAAATCAGTTGTTCCTGGAGGATAAAATTCACCAGGCCAGTCTCAATGACCATTTACTGCTACTCAGTAACACCTTTAACTGATGTGGCAAACATGGTACCTGGTGGGATAGGACAGGAAGTAGTTGCACCTTTAAAGGTTCATGGGTAGAAGTAGGAAGAATGGTGAGTAATGCAAGTGTATTATCTGACTGCAAGTGACCACATGGAAAAGCAGTGGCCATTCCAGGGAGAGGGCATGGATTCTAATTTCCTGCCATTAATAAAATATAATTAAGTCAAAACAAAAAGAGAGCTCACTAACCTCAGTTTGTTCAAGAATGGTCTCTCATGGCGTGACAGGAAGTGTTTGCTGTGTAATGCTGTTAATTTGAGAGATTATTTCCTTCCAGAATTGCTGAATAGTTGGACACTCCCACCAGCAGTAAACAGGTTAAAAATGAAAAAAGAAAAAGAAAAAAAAGAATGGTCTCTCATACTACCGCTGCAGACTTCTGTTTGGCTGGAATATTCAAGCATACCAGGGGAGGTCCTGTAGCTCGGTGGTAGAACATACATTCACCTGTATAAAATCCTATGTTCTGTCCCAGCATTCCTAGTTAGAAGGATCTCTCATGTTGTAGGGCTGGAGAAGACTCGTGTCTTGAGACCCTGCAGAACTGTTGCCAGTCAGAAGATACTGGGATAGACAGCCCAGTGATCCAACTCAAGGCAGCTTCATATATTCTTTTTATTTTAAACAACTACTGCAGTTTGCCCAGTTTGGTCCATCACTCTTGAAAGTCCAGTTAATCTCTGCATTCAGTAGTTGCCTTATGCCTTACTTCTTCCCAATCAGAGTGCTTTCAGTATTCAACAACTGATTGGCTGGAATCTAGAGCCATACTCACAACACATATTTAAACCATATTCTTTACATAAATGCCATCAGGTTGCACCTGATCATATATGGCAACCCCAGCAAGGGCGTTTCGAGGCAAGTGAGAAGCAGAACTGGTTTGCAATTGCCTTCCTCTGCAGAGTCTCTTCTGGTGGTCTCCCATCCAAATACAGACCCTGCTTAGGTTCCGGATTTGATGAGACCAGGCTATACCATGCCAGCTCCCCCACCTCCATCTGCTTAGATCTCAACAAAGGGACTCTGGAAACTGTGGTTGTATAATGGGGCTACAGAATGCTAACAACAAATTCCCAGCACCTTCAAAAATGCAATCTCCAGGGTTATTTGTGGGAAGACATGATACTACATAATGCTGAACTCATTTAAAAGAAATAATGTGAATGTATTTATACTAAAGATTTAAGTTAGTTTAACAGCCACTCTCAACTGTAAACCTTGTATATTGTTCTGTGAGTGAGACGAGGGATTTCCAATGGAGAATTCTCATTGGCCTTATCAAGATACAACTCCATGACACAAGACATGGCAGGTAAATATAAAACTACAGGGTGACCCTTGGTTTTCCTTGAAAAACTGAGATTTTAAAACAGATGCAGATAAGGCTGCCAATCAAGCAGTACAATCCTGAACAGAGTTATACCCTTCTAAGTCAATTGAAGTTAATGGGCTTAGAAGGGTGTGACTCTTCTTAGGTATTCACTTTAAAAACACTGAGTCCATTCCCACTGAAATCTATAGGACTTGCTTATTTATCCAGTTGTGTAAACCTTCCTTATTCCTAACAGATTCTCAGTAGAAGAGGAGAGAGGGATGTTCTGACTGAATTTGCTCCCAAGGTGACAGTATAGCCATACAATCTGTGTGGTATATGTATCAGTATATTTACTTCTGAGGTGTTTTGAGTGTTTCATGGACATGCAGTGAGCTGGTTACAATAAAAAGGTGGAAAGTGTAGGAATGAAGCACACGTGTGAAGATTTCTTTTTTTAAAAAATCCCAATTCAAAAAGGTTATATGGGGGTCATTGTGTTTCTGTCAAGCATATGTCTCAATTGCCTTCGCGTACTATGCTCTTATGATCTACATCATCCAGTGTCATCCCCCCCCCATGTTTTCATTTTTAAACCGATTGAAAGGTATATTTCTTCAGGATTATTTGATATATTTCTATAGCACTTTTCTTAGAAGTTCAAAGTAGTTTCCAATAATAAAAACCCCATATGCAACAAATAATAAAGGCATCATTATATACTAAAAGGGTTAGTATATAATCAACATTCAGCCAAAGGCTCTTCTAAAGAGTTCCACTTCGCACTTTCCCCCAGGGAATGGAATATGAAATTATTTGGCATCAAGTTTACTGTTCCTGCTTTTCCAGGCCAAGATAAAACATGAAAATTTATTTTGTATGGGGCTGGAATATTTCATCACTCAGTCAGTCAGATGAATTGATTAAAACCTTGTAATCAATTACAAAACTGCTGCTAGTTCAGCAGGCAGCAGATTTTTTAAAAAAAATTAAAAGATTACATCGATGGCTGATACCCCCGCATCTGAGAAGAGGTATACCTCCTCCTTTCCCACTCAAGTGGGAATGCTTCATCTGAGATGGTGCCTACCATTTATTTAAAATATTTTTGCCCTTTTCCCATTCAAATAGAGTTCCCAAGGTGGGAAGTATCAGAACATTAAAACATTTGACACAGCAAGACATTAAAACAACATTTAAATTATACATGTATATGAAATATGTAAACAATTAAATAAAACATATGAACACATAAGCAGACTTAAAATGACCAGGGAGAAGGGCCAGTAACAGTTATTGGGGGAATGATTAACAAACAAAAAAGAAGGCGTCACCTGCTGGCAGAAGACAACAGCAGAGGGAGACAAACGAATCATCCTGGGGATGGAGTTTTAAAGTCTCAGTGGAAAAACCGAAAAGGCTCTTTCTTGGATTGCCACCTGTGTAGCTGCAGATGGCAAGGGCCCCCAAAGCAGGGCCTCTGAAGATAATAGAAATGGATGGATAGATTAATATGGGAGTAGGGGGTCCTTAAGGAGCTGTGGTGGCTCAAGTGGTTAAGACGCTGAACTGCAGGCTGTGGAAGGTCGGTAGTTCAGCTGTTTGAGACCCAAGTGTGCCGCATGACGGAGTGAGCTCCCATCTCTAGTTCCAGCTCCTGCCAACCTAGCAGTTCAAAAGCAAGAAATTGCAAGTAGATAAATAGGTACCACTTCAGTGGGAAGGTAACAGCGTTCCGTGCGCCTTGGTGTTTAGTCATGCCGGCCACATGACCATGGAAACGTCTTCGGACAGCGCTGGCTCTTCGGCTTTGAAACGGAGATGAGCACCGTAACCCTAGAGTCGGACCCGACTGGCTTTCGAGCAAGGAAACCTTTACCTTTAGGGGGTCCTTAGTATGCTGGTTCGAAACAATATAGGGCTTTAAAGGTAAATATTAGCATAATGAACATAAGAACATAAAAAGAGCCCTGATGGATCAGACCAGTGGTCCATCTAGTCCAGCATCTTGTCTCACACTATGGCTAACCAGTTCCTCTGGATAGCCAATAACAGAGCATAGAGGCCGAGGCCTTCCCTTGATGTTGCCTCCTGGCTCTAGGATTCAGAGGATTAGTGCCTCTGAATGTGTAGGTCCCCTAGCCACCATGGCTAGTAGCCATTGATAGTCTTATCCCCCATGAATCTTATCTAATCCCGTTTTAAAGTTGTTTATTACTCTGGCAGCGAATTCCACATTTTAGTTAATTTCTGTGTAAAGTAGTATTTCTTTTTGTCCGTCTTGAACCTACTGCCCACCAGCTTCATTGGATGCCTCATTGGATGCCCTCTAGTTCTAGTATTTTGGGAGAGGGCACCCCATGCATAATTCCATAAACTTCTATCATGTTCCCCCTTAGTTGTCTTTTTTCTAAATTGAAAAGTCCCAGACTCTTCAGCCTTTCCTCATAGGGAAGGTGCTCCAACTCCCTAATCATCTTGGTTGCCCTCCTCTGTACTTTTTCCAGCTGTGCCATGGCCTTTTAGAGATGCGGTGACCAGAACTGTGCACAGTATTCCAAATGAGGCTGCACCATAGATCTATATGGGGCATTATAATATTGGTTGTTTTATTCTCAGTTCCTTTCCTAATAATCTCTAACATACAGTTTGCCCTTTTCACTGCTGCAGCACACTGGGTTGACACTTTCATTGAGCTATCCAAGATGGTTTCCCCTTTCAGTCTCAGCAAGTTCAGACCCTATTAGTCTATACTTGATATTGAGATTTTTTGTCCCAATGTCCATCACTTTACACTTACCAACACTGAACTTCATTTGCCACATTGTTGCCCAGTCACACAGTTTGTGGAGGTCCGTTTCGAGCTCTTCATAGTCAGCCAGAATTGGGGCCAAAAGCAAATTGGAAGCCACTGTAGATGGAGCAAGAATGGAGTAATAGTCTCTGTGGTTCACTCCAGTCAACATTCTGTCCACAGCATTCTGCACCAACTCTAGCTTCCAGACAGCCTTCAAGGGCAGCCCCACATAGAGGGCCCTGCAGTAATCTAATGTAGATGTTACCAGGGCATGCATCATAGTGGCAAGATCTTTCCAACAGCTTGCTCACCAAAGGCACCCCTGGCCACTGCTGCCACCTGTTTATCCAACAGGAGGCTCATGTCCAACAGCACCCCCAAGCTACAAATCAGCTCCTTTAGGGAAAGTGCAACCCATCGAGAAGAGTTCCTGGGTCAAACCTTTCTCCAACCAGTAGCACCTCCATTTTGTTGGGATTAAGTTTCAGTTTTGTTGACTCTCATCCATATCAAAATTGCCTCCAGGCACTTTTTCAGTTTCCACAGCCTCTGTGGGATCTGCTGGAAGCAAGAGATAGAGTATCATTTGCAAACTGGTGGCACTTCGGTACAGGTCTCTG